TGAATGATCTTTTCAATGTGCTGTTGAATTTCATTTGCTAGTATTTTGTTGTGGATTTTTGCATCTGTGTTCATCATGGATATCAGTCTATAGTTTTCTTTTTTGTCGTGTCCTTGTCTAGTTTGGTATTAGAGGAGTGCTGGCTTCAAAGAATGAATTTGGAAGGATTTCCTCCCTTTCAGTATTTTGGAATAGTTTGAGAATAACTGGTATTAGTTCTTCTTTAAATGTTTGGTAGAATTCAGCAGTGAAACTGTCAGGTTCTGTGCTTTTATTTGATAGCAGACTTTTTATTAGTGATTCAATCTTGTTGCTTGTTATTGGTCTGTTTGAGTTTTCTGTTTCTTCATGATTCTATATTGGTTGGTTGTATGGGTCCAGGAAAAATTAAAAATAGAACTACCATATGACCCTGCAGTCAATACTGGGTATGTATCCAAAGAAATTAAATCAGCATGTCAAAGAGATATCTGTACTCTCATATTTATTTCAGCAGTATTTACAATAGCTAAAATACAGAATCAACCTAAGTGCCCATCAACAGATGAATGGATTTTAAAATGTGGTATATATACTATTCAACTATAAAAAGGCTGGGCACAGTGGCTCACACTTGTAATCCCAGCACTTTGGGAGGCTGAGGCGAGTGGATCACCTTAGGTCAGGAGTTTGAGACCAGCCTGGCCAACATGGTGAAACCTTGTCTTTACTGAAAATACAGAAAATTAGCCGGGTGTGGTGGTAGGCACCTGAAATCTTAGCTACTTGGGAGGCTGAGGCAGGAGAATTGCTTGGACCCGGGAGGTAGAGGTCGCAGTGAACCAAGATCCTGCCGTTGCACTCCAGCCTTGGTGACAGAGCGAGACTCCGTCTCAAAATAAATAAATAAATAAAAAGATGAAATCCTGTCATTTGTGACAACGTGGATGAACCTGGAGGACATTATGTTAAGTGAAATAACCCAGGCATATAGAAGGACAAACACCACATGATTTCACTTATATATGAAATCTAAAACAGCCGAACTCGTAGAAGTAGAGAGCAGAATAGTGGTTATCAGAGGCTGTGGAAGGGAGGAGGGAGGGGAGATGGGGAAAGGGAGATGGGGCTGATCAATGGATACTGTGTTACAGTTAGATAGGAGGAATACCTTCTGGAGTTCTATTACACAGTAGGGTGACTATAGTTAACAATAATGTATTGTATATTTCAAAATAGCTAGAAGAGAGGATTTTGAATGTTCTCACCACAAAGAAATAATAAGTGTTTGAGCTGGTAGATATGCTGATTACCCTGATTTGATCATTACCCAATGTATGCATATATCCAAACATCACACTCTACCCCATAAATATGTGTACCTATTATATGCCAACTAAAAATAAAACAAAAAAATTGAGTTTCCTATGCCTGTGAGAGAAGCAGATGTATACCTGCTCTTCCCGCTGCCTTGAGCTACCCCTGAAACTGATGTTCCTATCCCACAAAACCTCATAATTCCTTTTCTCAGATAGTTGTACAAGTTTCGTATGTTTAAAGTCATCTCTTACCAGTGGTTTTATGAGCTCAAAGGCAAGTTTGTTTTGAAAACCTTATCTTGTATCCTATTTTTTTTTTTTTTTTGAGACAGGGTCTCACTCTGTTGCCTAGACTGGAGTGGAGTGGCGCTGCAATCACAACTCACTGCAGCCTCAAAATCCTGGGCTCAGGTGATTCTCCTACCTCAGCCTTCCAAGTAGCTGGGACTACAGGCAATGCACCACCACACCCAGCTAGTTTTTTGTATTTTTTGTAGAGACAGGGTTTCACCGTGTTGCCCAGGCTGGTCTTGAGCTCCTGGACTCAAGAGATCCACCCGCCTGTGCCACCTAAAGTACTGGGATTACAGGTGTGAGCCACTGCACCTAGCTGTCGCGTATCATTTTTGTCTTTCTACTGAGGCTTTACTTTAACATTACAAAATTTGCATTCTGTAACACTGTTTCTGTGAAAATTCTCAGAGATGAGTGGTAGATTTTCTCCAATATGAATGTACCCTCTACTTCCCTGGTGGGAGATAGTTTCTGGGGCATGGTGAGGGTTCCTGAAAACTTTGCCCTTTTTTTTTTTAAATTTACAAAAGAAGCTGGATAGCTTATGCCAAGAATAAGCAAACTTTCTTTTGGTGGTCGAGTCAAAAGATGGAAAAAGCTCTCACTTTCTCTTTTTATTTTGCTTGTTTTTTCCTCACTGTCTCCAGAATTTTAATCTGGTGTTCCAACATATTTTAACTAAAGAAAATGGCATTCTAGTTTAGTTTCTTTTTTCATTTTTAAAAACTCTGTATTGTTGTTGAACTCCTTGCATGTGCTGTTTACTTTTTATTCATGTATTCTTTATTCCAAACAAATACTTGAGCCCTCACTTTTGCCTGGCAACATAAGTTTGTGGAGTTATCTTGGTGACTGAGGCAGATACATCTTCTGCCCAGGCAGGGCTCACCGTCTAGAGGCGCAAAAGACAAGTCACTGATGGTCCAGCACAATGCAGAACCCACAGGGCAGGTGAAATCTCAGAGGATGGATGTGTAGTTCTGACTTGGAGGCCAGAGAAGTCCATTTGTAGGAAATAACATGTAAACTGAGACCTGAAAGATAAGCAGGTGTTAAGGCAGAGCGCTCAGAGTTGGGAAGAAGGTTTCGAGTCAGGGAACAGCGCGTGGGAGGGTGTGGGGTGCCTAAAGTCCTTGCAGAAAGAAAACTTAAAACTGCTTTTATTCTCACTCAGCTTCAGAAATCAGATTTCAAAGAAAATCTTGCAATATTTGCCTTCAGTTTGGCTTTACCAACTCAAAACCGGAAAGACAATGCAAGTTCTGGTCATATTTACGAGCACGTAATTCTGCCCTTGAAGAGTAGAGTAGGCATTGTCTGGAGTTTGCCAAGGGGCTGTGCTCATTAACATCCCCCTTGAACTGTTCATGGATGCCTGTCTAAGCAAAGAATTCCAGATGGGAAGTAATGTAGAATTCATCTTTACTCTGAAAAAGGCTACTCTTGACACAGGGCAGTGGGCCCTCTGAACTGAGGCACCCAGGAAAGTCAAGAACAGAATGTTTCTGTCTGGAAGCAGCAGCAGCAGCAGCTCGAGGCTGGGCTTTGTGTCCTGGGTTCCTTTGGAATGCTTTAGAAGTCAGAACTGATATCTGAATTTTTGAACACTGGTCACCCACTTTTGGTGACAGACAGCTATGGACTAAATCTGATGACCAGTGACCACCCACATGGCAGTGGGTGAGCCTCTTCTGGAATATTGGGGAATAAAAGATTGATCTGTAGTAATGGTGAGCTCTGGTTTTTGCCTCCCGTATGGTGGGAAGTGTTCATTTGAGGGATGTGCTCCTGCGAGTTCACACAGAGTTTGATGGGCACTTCTCTCCCAAAAAATACATCATGGGGAAGTAAAAAGCCCTATGATAATTCATAATGGCAAAAGTTTTTCATGGCATATCATCAGGAAATCTACACAGTGTGGATTAAAAAGGTAGTTCTCAAAGTATGAACCCTAGAGTGGCAGCAGCAGCAGCACCTGGGAACTTGTTAGAAAGGCAGCCTCTGGGCTCCACTCCAGATCCACCGAATCACACTCTGGGCACAGGGCCCAGCAGCTTGTGTTTTCACAAGTCCTCTAGGTGATTCTGATGTATGCTCAAGTTTGAGAACCACTGGGTAAAGGAGACAAGCTACAGGTAATGATCAAATGAATTTGCTGGTTGTAACTTCCACCCTTTCTCTCCACTCAAGAAAGCATATCGGAATGCCATTGAGTGAGAGTGACATCATTGTGGGGACAGCTATGAATTTGCACACGCTTATTAAAATATGTAAACTATAGGTAACTGGTACTTTAATATTTATTTATTAATAACATGTGACCAAAGGCACAGCAGTGATACCACAATTAAGTACTGCAGTTCTATTAACCTAACCAGAGCAGTAGTTTTCATTGTTTTTGACCATGCCCTTGCAATACAAAATGCATTTAAATTTCTATCCAGAAGACACATGTAAGTGTGTACAACTAAAACAAATATTTCATGAAATAATATTCTTATTATCGTACTTTAAAAAATATATATGCTGGTCATAATCCATTAAATTGATTTCATGACTTACTAATGGAAAGTGACCTGTGTTTTGACAAACACAGATGCAACCAGCTGTGTTTGCTTGGATCCTGTCTCTAGAGCAGGAGTTGCGGGGGTGGCTGGCCTCACCCTCTGTCAGATAGACTTGGATTTCAGTCTCTGCCTACACTCCTAGCTGTGTGACCTTGGGCCACTTAATGTGTTCTCTGAGCTTTACTTTCCTATCTGTCAATGTGGATGATGATGATTACCTCACAGCTGTGGTGACGAGTAAATGACAACACATTTCACATAGTGCCTGGCAATGGCGGCTACTACCTTACTTGTGGAAATAGGACTGTTAGCACTAGTTTTCAGAACATCATCAGTTTAATAACTTTTGTAATAACCACCTCACAGGAGTTTTTCACAAGTTTTTTCTATACTGCAGTGCATAAGTGCACCCTACATTCTAGGCATTCAGAAATACTTTTGAATAATACTTTAAAAAATGCATCCAAATTCTGCACTCTTTTTCAAAGTATATTCAAGTTTGTTTTGATATAAGATTTAGCACCTCCCATTCCCAATCTTGAGGACACTGAGATTACAGATGATGCCCTACGTGGCTTCACACACCCACAAGATAGCCCCTAGTGGGGCATTTGGGAAATAGAACTTATGATTGTGTTTCTGTGGGAAGATGCTTGTTAGACTTTTCTTGAATACTCATACCTGTTGGTGACTAGGGGCAGCATCTCCATGTATGTAGCTCTGTAAACTGGCATCTCGGATCATCCACAGACCCTGAGTGATAAGCCATGTGGAAGTACCAGGGATACCATAAATCCAGATTTTGGGGAGACCCCGCTAATGTCCACTTGTCTCTCTGGAGGTCATGATTGTGGTTGGCGGCCAGGCACCCAAGGCAATCCGCAGTGTGGAGTGCTATGATTTCGAGGAGGACCGGTGGGATCAGATTGCTGAGCTTCCCTCCAGAAGATGCAGAGCAGGTGAGCAGCCTCCCAGTTCTGCAAGCTGTTTTTCCCCTGCTGGTCCCCACTCTGTGCCAGAAGTCGTGAGCTACTCCTTGTTTCCTCAAGCATCTGTGCATTTCAGGCTCCCTTTCTTTTCCCTCCTGCACAGTTTTTTTTTTGTTTTAAGACAGTCTTGCTCTGTCACCCAGGTTGGAGTGCAGCGTCATGATCTTGGCTTACTGCAACCGCCGCCTCCTGGCTTCAAGTGATTCTCTCACTTCAGCCTTCCAAGTAGCTGGGATTACAGGCACACACCACCATGCTTGGCAAATATTTGCATTTTTAATAGAGACGGGTTTCACCATGTTGGCCAGGCTGGTCTTGAACTCCTGACCTCAGGTGATCCACCCACCTTGGCTTCCCAAAGTACTGGGATTACAGGCATGAGCCACCACGCCCGGCCACTTGCACAGTTTTTGGCTCTTTTGGGGTCAGTTCTTATGAGCTTGGGGAGTTAAAGCTGATTCAAGTATTTACTTGAGTCAGACAAAATTAGAAAAGCAAGTAGGAAAGAAATCCAGTGAATCCCATGACTGCCAAATATCTAAAGTATCTTCAGTGGTGACTTTTCCTGTGTCTGTCTTGCTCCTCCATTGTCATCCATCAACTTGAGCAGTCATGCGCCTGACCTGACCTTGATGTCTCGGTTTCCTGTGCCTCAGGTGTGGTGTTCATGGCTGGCCACGTGTATGCCGTGGGAGGGTTTAATGGCTCACTGCGGGTGCGGACAGTGGATGTGTATGACGGCGTGAAGGACCAGTGGACATCCATTGCCAGCATGCAGGAGCGCCGGAGCACGCTGGGCGCAGCGGTGCTCAATGACTTGCTCTACGCGGTGGGAGGCTTTGATGGCAGTACTGGTAGGTTCAGGGTGTGTTCCCAACCCCTCCTAGCCTGGGACACACCCTCCATGAAACCCTGTTTTATTCAGCCAGTTCTGGACCAACTTTCTGTCCATTTGTAGCTACTGCCCCAGGGAGATACCACCCTTCTGCCTCATCCAGCTTTCAGGGGAAGAGCCAGGCCTTCTTGCACACAGAATATGTAACTGCCCATGTACTAGGCTTTCTAGGACTCAGAAGAGTCCCTTTCCTACTTTTCAGTGTCTGGGAACCTATTTACTCAGAAGATGAGACTTAGAAGGAGAGCATGCTTAGCTGGGGGGTGCCTCAGGCCTCCAGTTTGAATCCTCTGGGAGCTGAGTTCAGCACTTGGAAGAAACCTGGCTCAGGTCACGCAGTGGGCCAGGCTGCCCATTTTTTCTGTTGCCCTTTCTACTACTCCACTTGAAGCTTTGCCAGGCTTTTTCACCATAGGTGAGCCTTCTTGCCTCTGGACTCTATCTAGCTTCAAAATTTCAACCCGAAACCATTAGTTGACATAAACTCAGAGAGGTGATCTCATCTCTGCTCATGCTGCCAGGTAGGTGTCTCAGTAAACAGTAGCTCTGTTAAACTAATATGATATCCTTTGGCCCCCAGGGAGGGGAAAAGCAGTGTTTTTTTACTTCTCTGAATTTTTATTTGTGTCTTCACAATTTGGGGATTTTTCTCAGCCTTCTCTTTGCCTCACTCATATAATTCCAGGGCTTTAGCCCCTCTGGAGGCTGACTTTAGTGAGTGGGGCAGAGAACGAAAGGGTAGTGGTGCATTGTTTCTTTTGGAAATTACTTTTGGCTATAAGTAGAGAACCTGATTAAACTGTGCCTTAAAACATGAGGGATTTTGCTTTACTCATGAAACAAGAAGCCTAGAGGTTAGCAGTGGCTGAGTTGGTCCAGTGGCTCATGGACATTGAGACCCCATTCTTTAAGATTAGATTTTCTTGGCCTTTTTCTCATGATCATGAGATGGCTGTTATACCTCCAGCCAACACATTTGTGTTCCAGGGGAGAATGGTATCTATATCAGAAAAGCAAAGGCCGTTTCTAAAATCCCCATAGACTTCTGCTTAGGTCTCATTGACTTGGTCACCCCTAGCTGTGAGGGAGTCTTGGAAAGCAAGTGTTTAGCTTTCCACTGCTAAGATAGACGAAGCTGGGGGAAAGGGGATTGGAATAGGTGTTCAGTGAGGCTACCTCAAGTGACTACTTGGAATCAAAGTATCTCACTCTGCAGTTTTTATGATCTACGTTTGCCATGCATTTCAGACACACCCCCTGTCCTTTCACAGCCCACTCTCTGGGTCAAGTCTTAATAGTCCCCGCAGGTAGACACTGCAGATGTGTTTGAGGGAGTCGCCACAGGCCACATGGTGATTCAGAGGTGGCACCGAGCCATACATTTAGGTTTCCAGCCCCTGCATTTGGACTCCTCCCCCATCCTCACTGCTTCTTACACAGCAGGGTGAGGCCTGGTGCCATGGAAGTCTCATGAGTCTCTTGTCTCCCAGGCCTAGCATCGGTGGAAGCCTACAGCTACAAGACCAACGAGTGGTTCTTTGTGGCCCCGATGAACACGCGGCGGAGCAGTGTGGGTGTGGGCGTTGTGGAGGGTAAGGAGGTGCAGTGGCCGGTGGCCAGGCCTATCCGGCCCACAGGCCTTGTCCTGGGTCCAGCATCCTGCTTGGTGCTTCCTCTACCTTGGTTTATTCCTGAGATCACTCCTCTGAGTTAGGTACTATTATCCTGATTCAGCAGACGAGACTCAGAGAGGTGGTGGAGCTCCTGGCCCGTGGTGGAGCTGGGCTGGGGGAGTAGAAGGAGCCCAGAGGGGAAATGCCGGCCTGTGGTTTGGCCCCTTGTCAATAGCTCTGCTGGAGGTTGGGGAGGGGAAGGGAGTAGGGAATCTATAGTCAGCATGTGACCCAGGAGGATAATGTAGTGGAGGGAGAATTAAATGTGTTTAATGAATTTTGTCCTCATATTCATATGTTGAACATTAACAGAACTGTGGGTGAGGTAGGCACGCCTTCTTAGGTCTGATGACTGTCTCTGCAGGGCAGGCTGGTGATCGAGTCCAGCTCTAGTCAGGAAAGCTGTGTAGGGTAAGGCAGGAGGGCGTGGTGAGGTCTCGGGCCTGGTCAGATGGTACACATTCGTTTGTTAAAAAAAAAAAAAAAACAAAACTCTCACGTCTAGTCTCTCGTTTTGTTTGCAAAACCCTTGTGAAAGAGATAGGCAGGACTCAGATTTTCTCCATCCTCCAGATGCCCCACATTCTAATGACAGTAAATAGCACAGCCTGTCCTTGAACCCAGGTCTTCTGACTCCTAAGCCGGTACTCTTTCCACTGTGCTATGCCCCTTCAGAATGCTGACAAATGCCAGTAGGTAGGAGTTCTGTAAATATGTGTGAATTCAGTGTACCAAAGCATAGACTATTACTTGAACTAAAATGTTATTTGCAGGACAACACTGATTCATCAACCTGTGCAAGTGTGAGAATTTAGATGGAATATCTGTTCATTCAGACATGTGTGCAGACATTCCATCTCTCATGTACATACTCAAGAATACACATGCAAACACAAATGTGTCCTGGGGACAGCGTAACATTCAGCGAGTTAGACATTCATAGAAATATTCTTTTCTCGCACTGTATTTCTCAGTCTGCACTGGTATTGTGTAATTTAAGTTTTCGTTTAAAGGTATACTATTCTAACATACTAAATAAGTCATCTTTGTGAGGGCAAGGATTTTGTCCTCCTTCCAAGGTGAATTGTGTCTTGCAATCTCATTCTCTTGGTGGAACAGAAATTGATTTGTCTGCCAAGTATAAGTGCTTTGTCTAGCCACCTTCTCATTTCTTCTCTTGTTCCTTAGCCAGGAATATCAAACAATAGAGTAGGGGTTAAAAATAGCAAATCCCTGTTAATAGACTGAAGGAGGAACCTTGAGTGTGTATTTTTTCAGCTGATGCAGATGGAATGGTTGATGGGGGTTAGAGGAGGTGCCATAATGGTGGTAATTTAAAATACTCCCCTTGACAAAAGCTTTTGTGAGCATGTTCTGTATGTGGAAGAAGTGCTGTCTTGTAGCACGCCCTGTTGACATGGAAGACAGGCTGGGAATTTGTTTCTTCTGCCCCTCCTGAATCTGAAGCTCTTTCGGCTGTGGGCACCCTGGGGCAGCAGAGTCCAATTTACAGCTGTGGTGAGAATGTTGAGGGAGGAACTTAAGTGGACTCTGCTTCACTGTGGCCTTGAAGAGACAGCTCTCTGCAGTGTCTGGCTTCCTCTCCTCCCTCTCATCATCTCATTACCATGGCTATACAGTTTGAATGACACTGAAAAAAAAAAATGGAGGAAATCGCAATAATTTGCTACTGGCTGCCTCGAAGAATAGCTATTTAGGAAAAGACTGTGTGGATCAGAGTACAGGCAGAGGCTCCCCAAGAGAATGGAGAGTGTGCTATGGAGATTGTCGCATCTGAAGCAGCACACACTGTACAAGTAGCCTGGACCATAGAAGGGCTGCTTAGTCAGGTTTTTAAAAAATTTTCACTCCGGTGCGTGCAGAACTGAGGGGAGGGTGTGTTTGTTTCTTCTAGATGGGTCAATTGAGAGGACCCTGGGGCAGAAAATAAAGCCAGGCTCGATGATGATAGAAGAAAAACATTTTTACATTTGATAATACAGCAGTAGTTCTGGTAGCAGAGTATAGGTTTGAGCCTGAGAATCTTTCTAACTTAAAATAATTGCGGATTTTCAAATACTAGTAGTATTCTTGGTGTCTATCCATCAAGAAAGCACATATGACCAAAAAATCTACCAAGTAATCCTGTTAAATGGATTTGCATTTGGCGATGTTTATTTAGTCTGCAACTAGTGTGACTCCTCCCTCTGTTCCCACAGAAGAGACCATCCCATTGCATTTTAAGACTAAATTTTAAACCCAAAATGTTTGAATTTCTGCTTTGGGATAGCTCAAATGCCAAATGTTTCCTCCTGCGTCCAGCCTCACTGTCAGCTCTCAGCCCCAGGCGGAAATGATACTCTTGGGTAGCAGCTTAATGGTATTTTAATTTAAAAGTAGATGACGGCACCTCAGGGCTCTTGTGTATGGCTCAGAGATCACAGGGTAGTCTGCAGAAAAATTCCAGCCACCCTGGCCCATGATGTACAAAGAACACTCCATTCACACACTGTACCTGCCAGGGTTGTGGAAGGGGTAGAGACAATGGCTAAGACAGGTTTTGGGTTCTCATTGAAGAAGATTTTCCCATATTTATTTCATCTGCTATTTCAAGCCTTGAGCCAGAAAGGTGGTCTGCCTGCGTATAGCTGGGGGCCTTCTAGCTTTCCATCTATCCAGTGCTGGTGTCTTGTTCTAGAGAAAATTTAACCTAATTCACCAGCAAGATTATGTTGAGTCCCAGTGGTGCCAGGCCATAGCTTTGGGCTGGGTATTTGGGGGTGCTTATTTAGAATGTTCAGTGTTTGCTTCTAAGGAGCTCATGGCTTAAGAGCAAGTAGAATATGTGAAGAAATGTGAAGGATGCTTTGCTTGGTTGAGGAGTAAGTTGGTGGTCCCCTGGAGAAAGAGGGAACAGAATTCTGAGGTAAGGGTGCCCCAGTTGGTTGCAGATAGGGTTTTAGCTGAGCTCTGGTTTCATGCCAGTGTCCCTGGCACCACACTCAGCCACTTTGTGTGTTGCAGGGAAGCTATATGCTGTTGGGGGTTATGATGGAGCTTCCCGCCAGTGTCTGAGCACTGTGGAGCAGTACAACCCAGCGACCAATGAGTGGACATATGTGGCGGACATGAGCACCCGTCGCAGTGGCGCAGGTATGGGAGAACCTCGGGATGCTGGCTGTGTCTGATTTGCTCACAAGTGGGTCTTTACATTTTTTTTTGTTTGTTTGTTTCATTTTAGATTCAGAGGGTACATGTGCAGGTTTGTTACATGGATATACTGCATAACAGTCGGGTTTGGGCTTCTAGTGTACCCATCACCCAAATAGTGACCATTGTACCTAATGGGTAATTTTTCAACCTTCACCCTCCTTCCAGCCTCATCCCTTTTGGAATCCCCAGTGTCTATTGTTCTCATCTTTATGTCCATGTATACCCATTATTTAGCCTGTACATGTAAGTGAGAAGATACGGTATTTGATTTTCTGTTTCTGGGTTATCTCACTTAGGATTATGGCTTCCAGCTCCATCCATGTTGCTGCAAAGGACATAATTTCACCCTTTATTTGGCTGCATAAGATTCCATGGTGTATACATACTGTATTTTCTTTAATCAGCCATTGATGGATACTTAGATTGGTTATATGACTTTGCTGTTGTCAATAGTGCTGCTTTAAATGTAACGACTGTACATGTCTTTTTAGTATAATGATTTCTTTTTCTTTGCATAGATACCCAGTAGTGGGATTGCTGGGTCAAATGGTAGTTATATTTTGAGTTCTTTGGGAAATCCCCATACTGTTTTTCCATAGAGGTTGTATTAATTTATATTTCCACAACAGTGTATAAGCATACCCTTTTCTCTGCAACCATGCTAATGTCTTTTTTTTTTTTTTTTTTGAGATAGAGTCTCACTCTGTTGCCCAGGCTGGAGTGCAGTGGCGCCATCTTGGCTCACTGCAAGCTCCGCCTCCCTACAAACTCTGCCTCCTGGGTTCACGCCATTCTTCTGCCTCAGCCTCCTGAGTAGCAGGGACTACAGGCACCCACCACCATGCCCAGCTAATTTTTTGTATTTGTAGTGGAGATGGGGTTTCACTGTGTTAGCCAGGATGGTCTCGATCTCCTGACCTCGTGATCCATCTGCCTCAGCCTCCCAAAGTGCTGGGATTGCAGGTGTGAGCCACTGCACCCGGCCTTTTTTGACTTTTTAATAATAGCCATCTGACAAGTATAAGATGATATCTCATTGTGGCTTTAATCTTCCTTTTTCTGATGATAATCATCAGATGTTAAGCAGTTTTTCATATGATTATTGGCCACTGGAGTGCCTTATTTTGAGAAATGTCTGTATGTATATCCTTTGCCTGCTTATTAATGGGGTTGTTTTTTCCTTGTTGAGTTGTTGGAGTTCCTTGTATATTCTGGACATTAGTCCTTTGTTGGGGGCATAATTTGCAAATATTTTCTCCCATTCTGTAGGTTGACTGTTTACTCTGTTGATCATTTCTTATGCTGTGCAGAAGCCTTTTTGTTTGTTTGTTTAATTAAATTCCATTTGTCTATTTTTGTTTTTGTTGCACTTGCTGTTGGCATCTTAGTCATAAATTCTTTGCCTAGGCCAATGCCCTGAAGAGTTTTTCCTAGGTTTTCTTCTAGGACTTTTATAGTTTCAGGTCTTACATTTAAGTCTTTAATCCATCTTCAGTTAATTTTTGTATATGGTAAGAGACAGAGGTCTAGTTTCATTCTTGTGTATGTGACTAGCCACATACAGCACCATTTATTGAATAGAGTGTCTTTTCCCTATTGTTTTATTTTTGTCGACTTTTTTGAAGATCAGCTTGTTTTAAGTATGTGGCTTTGTTTCGGGGTTCTCTATTCTGTTCCATTGATCTCTGTGTCTATTTTTGTACCAGTACCATGCTGTTTTAGTTACTATAGCCTTGTAATATAATTTGAAGTCAGGTAATGTGATACTTCTGGCTTTGTTCTTTTTGGTTAAGATTGGCTTTGGCTATTCGGGCTCTTTTTTGGTTCTGTATAAACTTTAGGATTGTTTATTCTAATTCTATGAAGAATGATGTTGATAGTTTGGTAGGAATTGTGTTGAATCTGTAGATTCCTTCAGGGAATATGGTCATTTTAATGACATTGATTCTTCCAATACATGAGTATGGGATGTTTTCCATTTGTTTGTGTAATCTGTGATTTCTTTAGTCAGTCACAAGTGGGTATTGGTTCAACAACCTAACATTTTATTTTAACTCCTCCTTCTTTCGTTTTGCTGTATATAATCCCACTAGCACCTTTGCAGCTAGACACAGCACTTATAAGTTAACCTTTCCTGGGAGATCACTAGAGAATGGATGAGATAATAACGCTCCTCATCATCGCTTATGTTTCTATGAAGGTGTTTACATCTTTTGAAAGTGAAGGCTTACTATGTGCCAGGCACTGTCCTAACAAATACTTTTTATGCCTCAATCCATTTAATCCTCACTACAGCCCTACAATGTGGATACAATATGAATTCCACTTATCAGATTTAGAAAGGAAGGCTGCCAGTGGTTGAGTAATTTGCCCAAGGTCATATAATTAGTAATGCTGACTCCAGAGTTAGTTTTTTAAATCCCTAAATTATCAGTCTTATTCCTCTGAAGTAGTAGGACAAGTCTTCAGTTGACAAAGCTGAGCTTGCCTGTCTGGGATTGAAAGCCAAGCTATTAGTGTTCATGTTTGGAGATAACTTATGTCCCCTGCTCCCACTTTTCCTCACTTCAATGCATTCCCCAACATGGGAAGAAAATGACTTTCCAAAAGGTTTCTACTTCTACTTCTTGTCAGAAAACCAGAAGCTCTATGGTCCTTTGGGATTTTTCAGGAAGCGGAGCAACAACCCCTTCTCCCCTGCTTTGTCTTCCCATCCATTGTCTTAGAGGCCCAAAGGGAAGGGTCTGAGGGCAGACAGAGGCATCAGTCCACTGGTTCTTTATTGCTGGTTCCTGTGGTCAGTGGTGACTGATTACCAATCTGATCCTGGCGGGAAGGCTGTGTGACTTCTGAGAAGGGTAGCCACATTCCCACAATGTTATTCCTTTCTCTCTCTCTCTCTTTTTTTTTGTGTATTTTTGGAGATTGAGTTGTGATCTCATTTTATAGTACCAAACATATGACCACTTCCTCAGCATTCTTTAAAAAGTATGCTATTTTAATATTTTTAAAGAGCCTTTGTGTGCTCACTGGTTTCAAAAATAAAATCTGCATGATGCCATTTAAGAAGTGTTTGTGTTTGGAGTGCTATTTTTAGGGAATTTTTGTCTCTGCTGATTCTGACAGGTTGGCCCTTCCTGAATGTGGAGCCATTGCCTGGAAGTCAGGAGGCCCGGGACTTGGTGCTGGGTCTGCTCTCATTTGCCATATGACCTTCCTTGGGCAAATCCCTTCCCTTATTCTGGCCTCTAATTCCTTATATGTGAAATGAGTGGGTTGTAGGGTTGTAGTAGATGTTCCCTAAGAACCAAGTCAATCCACAAATCCCATGATTCTTTTCCTGTCGTAAACCTCTTTCGGAAATTTTGGTTTCTAAAGTTTTGGTAGAGTCTTCTTCATACTCCCTAGAAATCCTCTGTTGTGACGTAAGGGGTGAGAGCTCAGCATGCCTGGGGCAGCACACCCTGAGATGCGTGACCGCTCCTAGGGCCGAAAGCCTGGGGAGGCAGCCGGGCGTGAAGCCGCCAGGGCAGACCTGCGTTAGGAAGCTCAGGCTTGTCTCTGTGGAGGGAGCCGCCTTTGGAGACTACAGCTGCTTTGTCTCTGCCAAGCTGCTGAAATGGTTATTGCTGGGTGGACATCACCTGGCCCTATTCCTGTCTCTTACCTACACTGGAGGACCTGGAGGGTGACACGTCTGTTGCCTGGGAGTGCAGTGTCCCTGGGAGGCACACTGACCTTGATTTAGGAAATCAAAACCAAGCCTTTTTCCTGAGGTTACTGTCAGAGCCCTGGCCTCCGACTCCCAGGTCAGCCTTTCTTCAGTGCTTCACTTTGGTGAGATTTGGGCAAGTCTCACCTCTGGAGTTGGGAACCCACATACTTATCAAGGTGGGTGTTCTTGTTGGCTGAAGACCCAGAGACCAGAGGCCCTGGCCTTTGGCTGCCTGAGGCCCTTTGAGGTGCCAGGAGCGCCTGTGGCTCTAGGTCCAGGAGGCCGCTGCATGAATGTTTATGGATGAGGCTGCACTAGGGCAGAGGCAGAGTTGCCTGAGTGCCTGGAAGGCAGCTCGCTTCCTCAGCAGGGTGTGGGCAATGCTACCAGATGGTTAGGGGAAAAAGAGGCCCTCTCTCAGGGAATGCGTGTTCCTGCTGAGCATGGAGGAAAGGAAGGTGAGGCAGCTTTGGAACTCAACTAATTGTATTAAACCTGTCAGTTAGAGAGAGCCATTGTTGATACGACAGCGCCATCTGCTGTTAGTTTAGAGCAACTGCTGGGAGCCACTAGCATACCCACGTAATTGCTGGGAGGGATTTTATTAATTTATATTTTTGTCATTCAAGCAATATTTCTTGAGAACCTACTGCCGTGGGGCACAGGGAAGCAGACGAGGACAAGGTAAAAACAGTCCTCATCCATATGGAGTTATAGTTTACAAGTCTGGTTCTTGGGTCTGAAACCTGGCTGCACATCCCAGTCACCTGAGGAACTTTCTCTGACTCCTGACCAGTGTGGAATCTCTCTTGTAAAAAGCCTCCCAGTCCGTTGAGATGCAGCCTGCCCACGGAGTGGAGTAGTCTGTGGTCCATGGGAACTACTGATCTAGTACAACTCTTTCCCTTTACAAATAGGGAAACTGAGGCCCAGAAAGGGGAAGGGTCACCCAGTGAGCAAGTCAGAGAGGCAAGTCCGGAACACAGGTGTCCTAGCTACCAGGTCAGTTGCACTTTCTAGATACTGTGCTGTCTTCCCTCTTTATGGCTTTCATCTTCTTGTTGTATAAAAGGATTTTAAAAGATTATACTGAAACTTGTAAACGAAGCAATTCTAGCACTCAGCTCAGGCCGATCAACGTGGTTAGTGATCTAATAATGCCCTCTGCAGTTCAGGAGGAGAGAAGTGGGCGGAAGGGTCAGCTTCTGCTTACATGACCAGCAGGGAGGCCTCCGTAATAATAATTTCAGCACTTTTGCTGTGTCGCTAGTTTCAATTTTTAACTCTTTTTAATCAACTAATATAAGGATGAGTAAGTAATACAACATTGTAGGAAAACTAGGCAATATAGATAGGCAAAAAAGGAAAATGAATGTAATTTGCCACTCAGAAATAATTATTCTTAATATTTTAATGGATTTCTTTCAGTATTTTTTGTCCTTTTTTCTTTGCTTATGAACATCGTCCCCTGTATGTATATATGTATGTATATATTTATGTTTTTTCAAAACAGAATTTGGGTCACATTTGCTTTATACTTCAAAGTTTTGAGCTTGCGAGTCTTATGAGGAGGCGGGTAGGGTGTCATTATATTTGTTTTACAGATGAGGACACTGAGGTCCAGGGAGACAAAATGGCACTCCCCAAGTCCCCTCGCTGGTCAGGGCTGTCCAGGACTGGACCCCAGGCCTCCTGATTTCTGGTTACTGTAGCCAGCCTGAGGCTGGGACACTGTGCTCTGCCTTTCAGGGGTTGGAGTGCTTAGCGGACAGCTGTACGCCACAGGTGGGCATGATGGGCCTTTGGTGAGGAAGAGCGTTGAGGTTTACGATCCTGGAACAAATACCTGGAAGCAAGTGGCAGACATGAACATGTGCCGGCGCAATGCAGGTAATGACTGCTCTCTCCATCTCCCCTTTGGGGGTCGTGTGCCTTTTCTCCCTGAAGACACTGGCTCTAAACAGCAGGGAGATTCCCAGGGTCTGGAGCTGAGTGTATATCCTGAACAGGGAGTGTCCATTTTCCAGGTGGGCTCTCGGTTAGAGGAGGGGAGAAATTGAGACCCCGAAAGCTAGCTGCAGATCCTGCAACCTAGATGCAGAGGATCCCCTTCCTCCCCACTGAAGGGTGATGACTTTTACCACACACGGATGAGCACAGACCTGGAAAAGTCCTTTGGTTGCCGTCAGTACCCCCTGCCCGACAGCTTTGTAGGTAGCTAAGCTCAGGGCTCTGTGGACAAGAGCCAGACAATGGCACTTGGTTCTATCTTTTCTTTGCCAGTGCCTGGCTAGGAGAACCTCTCATTTCCTACTTGAAACCAGTCTCCTTCCTTGCAGGGACAGTTGGACCCTTGATCAGTTCTCCTTTCCTTATTGCGTTCTTTGTATTCCTGTCTCTCCTTTCCTTCTTGTCTCCTATGCCTTCCTGTAGGAATGATTTACTGTAGAGTATTTAGGTTTATATTTCCTGGAGCATGAGGCCCCTTTTAAGCTATTTCCTTTTTGAGCTTTGCCTTGTGGGTTGTGTACTGTGTCGGTATACCTTTATGCCTCTTTGCTCTAGGACAGTGTTGGCTTAGCCCAACTTCCCAGGCTGGAAAGACACACAGGTGACTTTCAGGCAGATGCATTTTCATTATTCTCATATTACCTGTTTGCTAAGCCCATTCGTGTCTGACTTGGAAGTGTAAACAGGGGCTGAGGGGATGTTTATTAATTTACTCGTTGCCTAAGCCTGCTGTGATAGAAGTTCTCATTTGGCTTGAAGCCACATGAGCAAAGAATTACAGGACCCTTAAGGCAGCTAGTCTATCTAGAACCTGGGAATTCAGTTTAGATGTAAATGTGTGTTTGCATAAAATTCATGCATAGATATTTCTATTTTTTAATAACAAAAATGGAATTACACTATAACACTATTTTGTAACCTGTTTTTTTTTAAAAAAAAAAACTCACTTTACAATCTCTCACGAATATCTTATTACAACACTAAACTTACTTATGTGATATTATTTTAAATGACTATATCATAATTTAAGCAATCTACTATTGGACACAGGTTATTTCCATCTTTTCTATACTATAAGTAATACTTTAGTTATTATAAATGGTCTTTATAGCTAAATCAGTGCACACATTTAAAATTATTTCTTTAGAATAAAAGGCCAGAAATGGATTTTTTTTTTTTGAGACAGGGTCTCGCCCTCTCAGGCTAGATTGCAGTGGCATAATCTTGGCTCTGCAACTCTGCCTCCTGGGCTCAAGAGATCCTCCCAGCTCAGCCTCCTGAGTAGTTGGGACCACAGGTATGTGCCATCACATCTGGCTAATGTTTGTATTTTTTGTAGAGACAGGGTTTCACCATGTTGCCCAGGTTGGTCTTGAACTCCTGGGCTCAAGTGATCCATCTGCCTTGGCCTCCCAAAGTGCTGGGATTACAGGTGTGAGCCACTGTGCCTGGCCAGAAGTGGACTTTTTTAATTAGAGGGAGCACATGTATTTTAGATGCCATCCAGGAAGGTGTCCATTTTATCGTCTCACCAGTATTTGAGAGTACCTTCAGCAACACTGGTAATTGCTACTTTTTGGAGTATCACCAATCCCTTAATCTAATTTTGAAAAACACACAACATATTGGACTATGGCCTTTGAAAGTCTTAATGAGCAATAATTAATTACATTTTCGTACGCCTTAGACCCTGCTGCATGAGACCTTGCCCAAAACCCATCTCACTCTGAGATCAGGGTGGGAGCTGTTCCTCATCCCTGGGAGCTGTGTGTGAATGTAGACCCCAGACTTGTAAAGGGATTACAGACATAACCATCAGCATCACACAGTGTGGATACACCATAGGGCTTATCCGGGAAAAACTTAGCAGCAGAGAAGTAGTAGCATGCATGAAGTCCCCTGAATTGTTTTATTCTCTAGCTTAGGCCTGGCACAGGAGGTCTGTGTACACCTTTCCAGTAGAGAGGGGTCTGTGCCCATATGCTCTGCATACTTATAGTGTAGGTATGTGTGTGGTGGAGGGCATACACGTTTTAAGTAATCAGACCCCCTGGTCAGAGAAATGATCTTGTTAGGAAGAAGGATCCTTGGAGCCCAGTGGCTGTTGTCAATATTTTCTTCCACTTAGCAAACTCAAACCTCCGGAGCCAAATCTCCGTTGTCTTACCATGAAGGGAGGAAAAGAGCCTCCCAGGCTCTCTGGATTTGTCTCTTGATCAATTCTGATCTCTTGGTGCGCCTGCTGTGATGTCTCCTATGGCTTTTGTTTGACTCCCAGGGGTCTGTGCAGTGAATGGGCTCCTGTATGTGGTTGGAGGGGATGATGGATCCTGCAACTTGGCTTCGGTGGAGTACTACAATCCTGTCACTGACAAATGGACACTGCTTCCAACCAACATGAGCACGGGGCGGAGCTATGCAGGTCAGTGTGTGCCATCTCCATGCCCATCCCAGAGGCCTCCAACACACTGGGGGAATGAGGGGTGGGTGGGCCGGTTGGATGAGGGGATGTGAGCTTGCTTAACTTGGGCCTGAGTGCCTCCTCTAGGGATGACAGGTAATTGTTACATGGCCACCACTCTTTCATTCTGAGCTCATGACAGATACTGATAATTAGCACTTATTACCCCCTGCCCCTGCCCTGACCCTGTGAATCTGAAGGTAGCCTCAGAATTTGTAACGTTTGTTCCATCGAGCCACTCCAACTGAACTGAGTTGTCACAAGAGATTTTAGAATTTCATTGCCATTCCTGGTTTACTTTGTGCCAGGCTCCTAGATGGCATAAGATGCAATTCTTGCTGTCCAGAGTTGAATTGGACAACTGGGAAGACAAGATGATGTATATACAAGTTCTAAATGACATACACTAGACAGGCTTTAGCACATGAAAGACTGGTGAGAACTGGCAAAGCCAGGGAACCCTTCCTGGAGGAGACAGGCTCAATTACACTTTGAGGCTGGATCACAATCACACAAATGGCTGTCCTTTAGTGGGTGGCCCCGTGCCATGGGGCAGTGTGTTAGGAACAGAGTGTGCATTTGTTTTCATCTTTTCAGCAACTCTTGGGCTGAATGGGACTGTATCCATTTATTTTATGGATGATGAAACTGAGGTTTGGAGAGTTTAAGTAACTTGCTGAAGGCCACACAGCTAATAAATGGCAAAGTCAGTTCAAACCCAGAGTTCTAAGTCCATGCCCTTTGTGCTACCCCAGCTCAGGGTAAGCCTTAGAGTAAGGCACCAGGCGGGTGTGGAAGCTTCTTCTTGGGGAGTGTGTGTGAGGGGTTTGGTGAGTGGCAGGGGCAGGGGTGGCGTCAGAGTTGGTGTTTCTCTCTATGGGGAGATGAGCAAATATATATCCATAGTGTAGTTCAGTTCCTTGTATCTGGTTTTCCAGAACCTGGAATAGAGATAACATTATTTATCCAGCACACACAGAACATACCAGGCATTATCCAAAGTATTTGATAGTCATTATCTCTTTTAATCCATACCACAACTCCAGGTATATTCTTCCAATTCCCATTTTGCGTTATAAAGGTCAGTCATTCCATCTAGTTTGACTGCAGAGGAAGATTGTGCTGTGCAGATTTGAAGGAGTTTGCGGCACAGTCTTTCAACGTAAGACTGCTGTTGCAATGGACTTTAACTTTTTTCTTCCTTTAGAGTTTTTTTCACGTTGTAATGCTTTTCTTGGCTAAGTATAAAACATTTTAGAAGAAGTTTGGTCCTGGAGTAATTCTGTTCTGGGATGAGTGAGACAAGTGAGGATCTTCCCTTGACTCCATGCGTGCCTTAATGAGAGGGGAAGAGTTAAGTGTGGGTGGTTAGAATTTCATATATATGCTGAATATTTCATGTACCTTTCTTCATTGCCTGCCCTCTCCAGAAGTAGGTAGGGAAGCAGACAAGCAAACCTGCAATTTTATGTTCAAACCCACTTACTGAGTCTATTATCTTAAAGTCTAAGGAAATGTTCCAAAATGCAAAGATTTGTGGACAGTTATTTGTTGGGGCCTTACTCATGATAGGAAAAAACTGAGAATAACTTAATGTCTGACATGAGGGAAATAGTTAATAATCTATGGGATATTTATATAGTGTATGATTTTTAATGTTATGAGAAAACATTTGTAATAGCCTGTTAGGTTAAAAAAGGATGCAAAGTTGTATGAACCTTGTGAACTCACACATGTAGTCCTGTATTGCTGGTAGCGGGAGTGGGGGTTGAATAGCTGCTGCTTCTTCTGCAGATGGATATTGGAGTCAGATGTGAATTTGAATCCCAGCTCTGCCACTAGCCCTGAATCTCTGGGCCAGATATCCTATCATACTGAACCCCTGTTGTCTGATTTGTAAAATGGGAATAAAATTAGACTAAGCCTTTTAGGGTGCTGTGAGAATGAAATGTAGTAATACTTGTGAAGAGCTAAGCACAATGCCTGCCTGGCAGTAGACACCATGCAGTAAATGATTGTAATTATTATTAGATGCTAGAAAGTATTCCGAAAAGACAGTGGTGGTTTTCTTTGTGTGAAGGGATTAAAGCTTTTTTCTTTGTGTTCTGCATTTTCCAGATTTCCCATAATGAGAATATATTACTTTTATAATCAAGATAAAGGTTATATGAAAAAGCAACACAGGAGCCTGCTTTCAAAAACAAAAAGCTACCTTCTGAAAGAGATGTCTGAGATTCAAGTAAGATGCTGTCAAGACCAGGCACCTGGACTCAGGTTCTGCCTGCCTCGAAGCTTCAATGTCTGCACCTTTAGCCAGGAATAAACAGGAAATAGATGTCTTAGCAGAATATCTCCAGTGGGGTATCCTGGCTTGCTTTTAGCCATGTTCTGTCAATCTCATCTTCAACCAGAACATTTTATAGTTGTGGGACTATGTTAAAATAAGGCTCCAGTAACCATCCTGCCTGGAGACACCTATAAGTTAGGATTTCGTTTAGCAACAGGCACCAGAAACCCTGACAGATACTTTCCTAAATAAGGAAGTGAGTGTATTTGTCTCAAGTAGAAAGAAATCCAAGGTTGGCCGGGGGGCTCAGACTGACATTGAAGAACCAGGTTTCTCTTCTCTTTTCTGTTCTGCCAGCTTTATCAAGGGCTGCTGCCTCCCCTTGGCCTTGCGTGAGCATTCCAGTCACAACAAGAACAAAGCCAGCGTTGCAACACTGGCACACTTGCCTTTATAGTCTTATTGGCCAGCACTGGGTCACATGGCACATCTAACTGCCAGGCAGTCTGGGAACCCGAGCTTTCAACTTGCTGGTGGCTGTAGTCAAGGACAGCAAGTTGGAAGGATGTTGACGGAATCAACCTGTACTATCTGATATGTAGCCTCAGTCCCTTACAGTGAGGTTCTGGGTCATGCGTGGATTTATAGTTAGGTGTTGAGCGTGGTTCACCCGGACTAAAACAGTAACACAGCGTACATGTCTAGAGCATTTATCAAAGTCGAGATTGTCACATTGGCAGGGTCTGTTAGATGACATTCGTGTGGGAACTGAGCATAAAGAGGTCAAAGAACTTGCCAAAGGCCATAGTGCAGGTTGACTGGTGGCAGAGTTAGGATTGGAATTCAGTCTTTCTTGCTCCCATGAAGGCAGCCTACTATACTTTCCACTTCATTCCAGTGTCTTCTAAAAGTAGAGATGAATCACCCATCGCTTCTCTTACAATGATTCAAATTTAGAGCTGCATAGCTGCCCCTGGGCACTGAGCATTGTTGGGCTGGGTGCTAGGGCTGGGGACGGGAGTCACCACAGTGAGTCCATGTGATGACACCCGGTGAGGCCACTAGCCAGCGGTGTTTGAGGGACTGTGCTCGTAGGTTCAAGTGTCTTGCCAGGACTTGGCTCTTGGAGTGGGGAGCGGCCAGCTGCTAGCAGCCTGAGTCTACAGACACTTCGATACTAGGATAAAAATTGTACACATTTCCCTTGGCTGTGACTCAGGATATCTTGGATTCATGAACTCACTGGGACTCTGAGTAATTTTGGAGAAGCTAAGATGATAACTTTCTCCCCCTTTCTTATTAGGTGTTGCCGTGATTCACAAGTCCTTGTGACCCAAAATCCCACTGCCAGGAGGTGGAGGAAGGAGCAGGTGCTGCCTGTGACTCTGAACAGCAGGACCTTGGTGACTGGATTCAACTCCCTTAGGAGGGTCTGTGCTGCTGTGAGAACTGCTGTCCTCTGATTTGGCAGACTGGTGTTGTTCATCGCAGTGTGGACACCATTACCCACCCCCGCTCCCCTGAGGTGCTCTGGCCTATGCCCTGAGCAATGGGATCCTGACAGCCCCAGGCAGCACCTTTGGGCTTTGTTTTGGTGTTTCTACAGGGACCATACAGACCCTGGAATGTGTGTGTGTGTATAGAACATGGTGTTTCTCTAAGTTGGGGGGTGAGCGTGTGTGACAGTCTACTGGATTTCTTTACTACTGATCCTTTCGCTGTGTTAAAAATCAAATCACAGAGACCTCTCTTCTGGATTTGTCCCATGGGGACCCTGAGACTACTAAAGCTGCTTTCTTCCGAAGGTCCAGTTGGACAGTCTGGGAATGTCCAGAAATAACCAGTGAGGGGGCAGTTCCCTGGCCACACCCACTTATGTACTTTAACTACTGTGACTTTGTCTGCAGAAGAGCTAGAGAATTTTCAAAGCTGCACCGTGTCCTCTGTGTGCTAGAATAAGGGACAAATGGGTTCCCTGCGCTTCTCAGCCCACTGTTTTTCCTTGAGTTCTCCTACAGGAAGCAGATGAGAACTGCTCAGTCTTCAGGTTTAGGCCATTGGTCTTTGATGTCATAGATTCCAGGCCTGGGAGATATTATGTCTCTTCAGCTGGGAAAACTAGCTCTTCAGAGAAGCCTCGGGTAACACTGAAAAAAAAAAAAAAACAAAACAAAACAAAAACCAGGAAAAAAACAAAAAACCAAAAACCAAAGTGGTAAGGATTCAGTTCCTGCCTGTAATGGTCTCAGAGAGGGTCCTACTTTTAGGTTTTCCCAGGATAGGACAGTCCCCATTTATACTTAAAATCCGGGTTTAATTATTCACAGCACCCCGTTTTACTCTCTGAAGTGTTCTGGTTTGGAGGATAAATAAGAGGTCACCCTCCTCCAAAGGCAAATATAGATTTGTGCCTGTGTTGGATGGAGTCGTGTGTGATTCAGATGGACGTTGGATGGCTCCAAAGGAATATACCACTAGAGCTGGCCCTTGGCGCTTTGTGACAGTGGTCAAGTCTGTCTAATGTCCTTGTCTTCTTTTTCTTGTGCTTTCCCCCATTCCAGGGTGTGCACCCTCTCCCCAAGCCCCAAGAACCTCACTACTGCTTTCCCTGTGAGGTAGGAGGTGTCAGTGGGCCCTGGGTTTGAGGCCTCCTGAGGTGTGCTTGCGTTTTAAAAAGGGAGCTTGGGAAGAGCTTTGCTAATTCACAGGTAAAAATGATTAATGATAGAGCTTCAAGCATCTTGAGGAGTGAGCATTTGAGGGTGCATGGAGTAATTTGTCTTTAAAAAACTTTAAAGTTGTGCTGTTCGTAAACTAGCAAATTGCTCATGCTGGAATTTCTGGCATAAGCAGGGGAAGTCTTGTGTCTGGAGAATAGTCTCATACCTTGCAGTCTGGGACACTCCCTACTTTGAGAATCCACCTACAGGAAGCCAAGGAACTTTATCAATCCTGATGTTGGACTTCTGATACGACTGGGCTACTTCCAAGCAGGTGCTGCAGGAGATTGGCATCCCCCAACCCCTGCAGTCAGAAACCCCGAAGTCTTCCTCGCCAGTGGGCCGCTTTGTGTATTTACTGTATATTTATTGTGCCCTAAATGTGCAACTCTCCTAAAGACAAAACTTCTCTTTCTGATGTTAAGCACATGTTTCTTCAACAAGACGCTTGGAGAACAACAAGGTACCCAGAAGTTGTAGAAGCCTTCAGAAGAGGCTAAAATATCCAGCTTTGGGGGACCTGGAAGAAATGTCTCCAAAGGAAGCAAGGCATGTTTTAGTTGAGTACTGTGGTCTCACTATGAAGTGGGGATGACGGTGGCTTCAGAACTCTACCTGGCTGTGGGTTGGAAGCTGATGAAATGAGAAATGTCCTTTCTCCTTCTCTGAGGAAATTTTGAGTCTTGTTTTGGTGTGTCTGTGTAATGGGGATGGGGTTGGGGTTGGGATCTGATGTATGCCGCCCACAGAAGCTCTCAATTTCAGATGACAGGTGAATTCCGCGTCCCTCCCCCACCATTGAGAAGCTAGACTTTCGTGCTGGAGAGGCTATTTTTTTATGTGTCATCTTCCAGGGAAGGGTCCCTCCACTGAAAGCTAGTCAGTCATGTTTTCTGTTTTTGGATTTTTGCAATTGGTTTCGCCTCATGTCTCCCTCCCTACAAAGCACTGCCTCTGCTGGGCGTGATGGCGAGGCCGTGTCTGTTTCACCCTCATGTGTCCTTTCTCATGGGGACCAGAACACTGGTACGTCATCACCAAAGCCAATCTGCTCCAGCTGCCCACAGATGCCACCAAAACCTGCTATCTCTTCATTACCAGGTAGGATTCTCTTTCCCCAGTGGACACAGCAGGCTATTTTCGAGTTTGTGCTGGTCACATGGTAGATGAAGCCTCTTACTGCCCCACTTAGGGTGGCCACGGCTGCTTGTGAATGCAGCTTTGCCAGTGGCGTATCTGTCATCTGACTGAGGTGGTGAAATGGAATTGAGGCCCAAGGTTAGAAGCAGCCGAGACGCCACTTGGATACTGATTTGAACAATGTAGAAGTCAGATTCTGAATTCCAAAGTTATTTCTCATAAGTACCCAATGGCATCTCTCCATCTACAAAGTTGCAGTATTATGCAAATGAAAGTGACCTCATTTTCTGCTATGCAATAAGAATACTTAATTCTATTTCCTGACAAGCCAGTTGCAATATCCCCTAAGATGCTTTTTGAGCTGTCTTACTTTGATATCTGTTGTGTAATGTTTGTATATTTCTGAGCCAGATCCTTTCAAAGATTGCCTTTTTATAAAATTGAAGCTGTAGCTTTTAGGCTAAAATTTTAATGTAGATATTTTTATAAGATATTTTTTTCAAGATGTTTGAATCGCTTTTTATTGTCCATGATAATATGTTATGTTCTTTGCATCATTCACTCTCAAACATAGTTCATGCCTGTAGCTCTCTTCCTTTTGTTTCTCACCCTCCAGAAGCATCTTTTTCAGTAGCGCCAGGTAGATGAGCCTTTTTTTTTTTTTTTAAATACCATATTCAAGGGAGTCTGCTGCATTTTAAAACACAGTCACTGGTGTTTCTTGAATTGCTAGGGACTGATGTTGTGTTCGACTCAGCTCTTGCCCATCTGTATTGATTGTGTGTGTTTTTTTTTTTGGAGTCTGCTTTCTGTGGGGGTGAGGCTGGGCTGTCTCATGGTGGCTCCCACTGACGGGCACTGAAGCTGGCACCCTGTGGCATGGAGAAGCCTCAGGGAAAGGCCTGCCCCCCAGCACACACTCCCATAGTGTCCTAGGTCCAGCCGACCATTCCTTATTCTCTTCTATCATCTCCTTGTTCATCTGAAGCTTCCAATAGCTTGAGGCCTTTGCTGCTGGATGATGCCCTTTTTGGGAGCATCTTGTCTCTGACCTTTGGAAGAGGGGTCAGTCCTCATGATCCCCATGTGTTAAGCATGTGCTTTGCAGGTGCTCACACGACACTTACAACTTACTTCCTGAGCTGTGTCTCTACTCCAGGCTCTGGTTTGTGTATTTATCTGCCATTAGCATCATGATTTTTAAAATTAATTATTATTATTATTGTTGGGACAGGTGCCATTTACATTGCCTCCATGCTCCCCACTTGCACCTAGCTGGATCAGGTTGGGAGGATGAGCAAACTCGTATTCCAGTTAGTTGGAGTTTTTAAAGGCTCTGTTTGCCTGGAGAAGCAAGGAGGTTAGAATGTATTTTTTTTTTAAGCATTTGCACTATTTAGAGTCCTAGCCCCTCATGTTTAGCTGTGCTGTGTTTCTACTGACCAAACAGGAGAGCCAGCAGCACTTCCAGCGTTTGGGAATGGAAGAGATTACTTCTGTAGTGGATAATTGCAGCCTCATAGCCCCTGTGCAGCCTTCGTCATGGGACTCAGTGACTCATGGATATAGCATCAGCCATGGCAGGAATGCACAGGACTGTGGCATTTGCAGCATCAAATTGCCCTAGTGCCATGTTTGGTTATGAGATTGTAAATTATTCGCTCCCCCGTCCTCCCCTCCCCTCGTTTTCAGTGGCAATAGAGGACCCTTGTGTTTTTTGTTTAATTTGCATATTATGTGTAAAATACTTTCTTTGAAAGAAAAGTGAAGACGCTGAATGTGTATGTCTGTGTGGGTGCTCTGTCCCTGTGGTTGTCATAGCCAGTCAGACTTGATCACTGACACCCCGTACAACATGTTGCATAGGTAAGATCCTCAATCTGGTGTTCTCTGCATGGCTGTTAGGGACTGTATATCTTGTAAAAGAACACTTGTCACATGCTTGATCAGTTACAGCGATAGCTGAAGAAACATTTCCTCAAATGTATTATTTTAACAGGAATCATGTTCTAATTTCCCATCCTTTAATTTTAATAAAAGTTGAACTGTGCAAACTTTTCTCAGTATTTCATTTGTTTAGTCCACTCTCTCTGCTATGTCTCAAACATGAAAAGGACAGATTTATTCCTGTATGTCTTTGGATTAAAAAAATTTTAAGATGTACTGGACAAGATCTGGGTTCCTTGGTTTCCATCACTGGCCCCAGCAGAGTGCCAGGCCCACAAAGACCTTCTTCAATGAGGCCAAGAGAGGACAGTCCCTCCAGGGGGTGTTAGGTGGTGTGGGCAACTGCCAGATAATCACTGGGAACCACGGAGAGTCAGGTTTGGTGGGGAAGACAGCTAGCTCAGCTGGGCATCACTATTTGGGAGAGGAGCCTTGTATGAAGCGGGGGGGGGGGGGGTGGATCCCTGGCTCAGCTGTAACTTCTCAAAGCCTCCTGCTCAGAGACCTTAGCTCTCTCTCTAGTTAACAAAGCAGTTCCAGGCCCTTTTGAGATGTCAGTAGCTCTGGCCTGTACCAGGTGACAGATGGACAGCACAGAGGTGTTGGACTTCCCTTCAAGCTGGAGAGACTCAAGGGACGAGTGGGAACCGTTAGCCAGATTCCTCCCCATATTTGGGAAAGTAAATTTTGAGCTCCAAGGGGGCACAGCCTGCTTGACTCACTCTGCACTCCTGGTGCCTGGCACTCAGCTGGCGCTCAGCTGGCACTCAGGAACAGTTGATGGAAGAGCAAAGAAAGGCAAGTGGTAGGGCTCGGGTGGCAGTTTCTTTCCTTCCTCCAACTCCTCTCCCCTCTCCTGGGCTGGCCTCTGCCAGAGCCTCTGTTCTCCCAGCTGTCACCACTCACCCTCTGCTCCTGTCGAGCAGTTAGACTGTTCAGAAGAATGAGGTCAGGCCTCTTTGAGCCCCACAGATCCCGAGCAGGTGGGCAGGAATGTGTGCCCCTGGGACAGAGGAGGCCCACAAAGGTGAACCCATTTATCTGGGGGTGTGTTGTGAGCAGTGGAGCACACCTGGACGAAACCTACTAACTCTTTTGACCCACAATTGAATTTGCGCATCAGCCTGAGAAGAGGGTTCAGGCTGCGGTTGTTTCAATAATCATAGCAGCTGGCATTTATTTTGCATTTGATGTGTGCCAGGCCCTGTGCCGAATGCTTTAATTCCAGTTAATCTCCATAACACCTCATGGAGGCAAATGACCACATGATGCTCTGCCTAATTCACAGGATTACCGGAGTTAATTAACAGACCCTTGAGAAGAGGTGCAGGCCCCCTCCTCCTACTGAAGCTGCTTGCTGAACTGTGCCATCTTCAAATCCCAGAGGCCATACCCTATGAGTGCATTCTGCAGCTAGGAGGTCACCAGCGTCTGGCCCTCAAGGGTGGGCAGGGAAGCAGATCCCAGAGCTAGGCTGGAGACCCCCTCTGCGGTCAACCTGCTCTGGGCCTCAGCTGGCCTTGGAGAGGCCTGGCGAGGGGCTGATGGCTAGTGAGGGCTTTGTCTCAGGGCACACGTATTTCCCCCACTATGCTTCTGGCCTGGTTTCTCCTTACAGGAGAAGTTTCAGAGTAATTTCATATTTGGTGGTTTTTCTACCAACTTATGTTTCTATAGTTTACAAATAGTGTCTTTTGACCCTAATAAGCTATTTTACTTTAATAAAAATATCTTCTGTTCTGTTTGCCTCATGTGATTTTCACATAGGAATCTGTATTCCCCATTGTCTATCCCTTTCTGCTCAGACAGCTTCTCCTACTGCTCCAGGGTCAGTGCCCATGGGAAGGGGCCCCTGACTGCGATTTTAGACATTGTCAGATGCAGCCCATGTATTTGCACGTCGGGAAACTGCGGCTTGGAGCTGTAGAGAGGCAGCTGGCTCTTGTTCTTAGGTAGTTTTGATGTGGCTTTCTCTAGATCATTTGCAGCTCCAAAGCTGCACACAAGTGCCTGAAGTGAGCCAGGTTTCCCATCAGCCCAGTGGAGGCTCCAGGGCCTGTGCCTGCCTACCTGCCTCTGGGGGGGCTCTGGGGCTGAGGAAAGGCAGTGACTGCAGGCCTGAGGCCCATGACCCTCAGGGGTGGAACAGAGAAGAGGGGTGGCCCCCATCATGGCAGGGTGGTCTCTCTGAGACTCCTGCTCTGTGGCCACTCTAGCTTCAAAGGCTGCTCCAGGCTCCCAGGGTCGCTGGAGGCTGCAACTCTCCTTCGCAGGTGTCGGGGGCGTCTACTGGCCCAGGGTGGAAGGAGGCCTTGTTCTTGGCTGTGTGACCTGCAGCACATCCTTTTCCCTCTCTGGTTCCTTATCTGTCAAATGAAGGAACGTGTGTCCTTATGAGCATTTACTGCACTCGCCAGGCCCTGTTCTTGCTCCTACGTAACTGGCAAGGAGATGGGGTTCAGAGAGCTGAGGGATGAGGGGAACAAGGATTTGAACCCACATCTTCCATGGCAGTAGTTTTTGACTGCTATGCTGCACGTGTTGTTAATCTGTTAGGACCCTGGACCCTGCCAGTGAACATGCATGATGAAAATGTTTTGATGAATCTCCTAATTGTAAGCTAAAGGCCGGAAAGTTTGGCTTTAGACCTCTTTCCTTTCCTCGGTTTTTCTTTCCTTCCCATTCCTAGTTCCCAGCTGCCTCTAGGAAAGACCCCACTGTCCCTCCCAGTGTTGGGAGTCTTTCATTCTCTCTTTTCCGCGTGTTCAACAGTCACTCCCTTAACCAGAATATATCCATTATCTATGTTGCGTGTTGCTGGGAACTTGAGATGCAACTGCTAACAGAACAGGCGGTCCCTGTGGACGTGGAAGTTTGAATTTCTACGGAACATGGTCAGGTAAAGACGCAGGTACAGTCTGGTGCTGTGGGGGCAGGAGTGGGTGAGGAGGGGAAACACATGCCCCTGAGTGAGAGTCACGGGGAACAACAGGAGAGAGGGAGACATGCAGGGACCGGGGGAAAGCGGGTAGACTCACACAGAGCAAGAGACAGAATGTGAGAGATGGAGACACACGGAAACACAGGGTGGCAGAAGCATAAAAAAGACGACGCACACACACACACGGCCAGGGAAGAAGAGGTACCATCCAAATGGAAACACAGAGGCAGAGACCCAGAGAGAGAGAATGAGAGGGCGAGAGTGTAAGACAGAGCAAGAGTCATTCCTGGCAGAGGACGGGTCAGCATGGCGGTTCAGATGCAAAGCTTTAGAGTCAGCAGACGCTTTAGAGTCAGGAGACTTCAAGTCTGAACTCAAGAAGGGTAATCACGTGGGTTTGAGGAGCCTCTTCCCCTCTCAGAGCCAGTGCCCTGATCTGTAAAATATGGATGATGCACCACGTCTGTGAGCTTGTGGAGATGAACATGAGAAGGCCCTAAAACAGAAGGCAGCCACTTCAGGCCCCAGGAGTCAGGCACGGCCTGGCAGAAGCGGCCTCCAGCATGAGACACTCTGAGTCTCTGGTGGTGGGTGCTGGTGCTGGAGATGTCCTGACTGCGTGTAGGCTCGAGGGACTGGAGTGTGTGTGGACAGAAGGTCTCTGTCCCGGGGTCTTGTCTGGGCCAGGAGATACACCTAGGACCTCTTTTCTTTTTTAAAAAACATTAGATCTTTGATAAGTAGAACCTCATTTCTGAAGGATGCCCCAAGTGGAGCCATCTGGCAGGGCCTGGTTTCACCTGTGGCCACTTAGCTGCTCTCTATTTGGCACAATGTGTTGAAATCCCTTTTTCTTTCCTCCTCCCTTGGAGGGGGTGGAAGGCATGAGTTTCAGGAGCTTACTTCCTGCTTTCAGAGTAGGGCCTCTTCTTGGTTTCGACTCTGTGCACACCAGGGAATGTGGGCTTTGGTAAGCATGTGTGTAAGTGTTGACATGACTAAGGAATCTCCCATGTGGTCTCATCTGATGGACAAGTCCTGTGGGGTAGCCTTAGCAGATATTATTGTGTGCACTGTCTCTGCCTGTTGTATACAATGGTCACTTTCTCAATTTGTGGGTGGCACACGCCAAACACTCCACGTGGTGCCTGTGCATAGTAAGTAGTTTACTGGGGGGAATGAATATTATTGTCTTATTCCCTTATATAGATAAGCTGAAGCTCAAGAGACGTTAAGGAAGTCAATGAAGTTCTCCAGGCTTGGATTCTATCACGCAGGATTGTGTTTGGTTCCAGGTGACAGCAAAATGACTACAGTGGCTTAACCAAAGAGTGGACTACTTTGCTCACATAACCACAGGTCCAGAGGCTGGTTTTCCAGGGCTAGCACAGCAGCTCCCTGGTGCCCAAGTATTGCTGTCTTCCTGTTCTTCCATCCTTAGCATGTTGTGAGATAGATGCTCCATAGGTATTCTGGTATCCCCACAACAGGATGAAAAGGAAGGAGAGGGGAAGGTGGACAGTGCCTGTGACAGGAAAGCAAAACCTTTTCAGAAATCCCTAGTAGAGCACCCTTTACATTCTCACCGTGCTCCAGCTGCAAGTGAGTTGGGGCAGATGAATACTTTTACTTGGGCATGCTGCTGCTCCAAACAAACTCCGAGTTTGCCTTGGGAGAAAGAAGGGGAGAATGAACATTAGCTGGGCAACTACCAATGAGGCCACAGTGGAAAGTCCTTGTAGCCTTATGTCTCCAAATGCCATGTGGCTTCCTTTCCGCCACTCAGCTTGGACTTTGCTTTCTTGGATCCAAAAGTCCAGGTCTTTTTGGTCCATTCTCTAGCATCTGCCCTGTAGGTTATTTTGGCTGGATACTGACTGTATGCAGGGCTTCTTGTCAGTGAGTGCTAAGGATGCTCCCTGTGCACTTGGCATCTACGGAGGGGATGCAGAGTAGGGGTTCAGAATAGGGCTGGGCAAGGAAGGCTTCCTCTCACAATTGCACTCCAGTCTTCTTCCTTGCTCTGTTTGGCATCAACAGTGGATGTCCCTATTGCAGGATAAATGAGAAATCCTAAGCCATGGAGACCTTTAGGAGCCTATTGCTGAGGCTTTAGTGGCGGCTCATTTGTCAGCTGTGGAAGTTTTCCTGAAGCACTGATTGAAAAGAC